CTCTAGCTGATTCAATTCTGAAGTTACAAATGCGCATACGTGAAATTTTCACGTGTTCGTACGTGATATGCAGAAGAGCTGACAAGTAATTTACTTTCACGGGCACAACAGCAGGCGACAAGTAAAGCTGCAAAATTCAGCTCTCTGCAGCCAATTGATCAAGTTAAATCTGGAGTTGGCATGATGCCAGTTTAAACTTTGATGTGTGCGTACGCGAGACCTGGGGATGCGTGAAGGCTGAATTTGAAATTGTTGGGTTAGACACGGCCAGGGAACATCTCTGTGAAGTTCCAGCCTCCTAGCATGAGCCGTTCCTGAAAACGCCTTTCCACCAAAGAAACTTTCACATGCCCCCCACGTGGACCTGAGCGTCCATTTTGAGGATACGAGCCCGCACGTATGTGTAGATTGAGTCACCAAATTTCCAGCCTAGTAGCTTTTGTGGATTTCGAGATGAAAACTCGTTACAGACGAACACACAGCACACACGCATATACACATACACGCATACACACACAGACAACCCTTCGACAGTATGCGCTTTTGCATTGCACAGCTGCAAAAAACGCATAAAAATTGAACTGAAAGTGCTAAATTTTCCCGGAGAACGAACATTTGGTTGGTTAGTTCGAAAATTAGACGAGTGGTTTTAAAATCGCAACTGGAAGGTAGCAAAATTTAGCTAAAGCCAACTCAGAACTCCGCGCCCATGAAATATGCAAGCAGTGGCAGGTAGCCCGAGTACTGCAGCATATACCAATAGCTGGCAGGACTGGTGTTGGATGTTCCCCTTCCCTTGAGATTAGAAGCAAGCCGATCGTGGGCTTGGCCACTTCCTTCCCTGTGGCAGCATTATTCAGCCATCCGAGAGACTGAGCGAATCACGGAGGGAACAGTTGCCGCAACTCTCGGCAAGCTGACCAGTGGTCAGTGCGATTTAAAAAGTTGCGGGGTGCCAGTTGGAGAAGCAGGCTACGAACTGCAGCTGATCAAAACGGGCATCCTTCCCCAGGAATGGGCAGGGAAAGCAGGAACGCGAAAATTTTCATACTGCACTGGCCAGATTTGCATGTTTGTTATAGATAACATTCGTCCCTTGCAATGACCGAAAGGGTGGAAGCCTATTTGGTGAAGAATAAGAGCATCGCCCGCGATGATATTGCTGATGTTTGGCAGACATTGGAACAGCTTTATGTGAAAAGGTGAGCACTTTTTCGTGTTTTGCAGCAAAACCGTTTTCGACTGGCCGCTGAATAATTTAAAGTGCCAGCTGTGCCAAGCGCGGATTTTATAGAGTTTTTGAAAATCGAATGATAGATTTGGTCAAAGAAATGTTAAAATTCGGCGCGATGCAAAATTTCACTGAATAAGTGCAAAATCTGTGAAGAAAATGGATTAATCATACTGAGAATAACAGGACCACCTGGGAAGCAGTCGGTGTGAGAGGATCCCATGTTAACAGTGGTGTTGTTAGGGGCGCACCTGAGATGCACCAGTTTCTGAGTTGGTACCCAACATCACCTGTTCGCAGTGGGCGCAACGCCTGTTCGGAAGTGTGATGTTCAAGGTAAAAATGACCAGGATGAAAGGGAGAGAGAGAGAGAGAGGGGTAAAAAGTGGCTAGTTTTACTTTAAGTTTGGGACATAATATTCTTGCATAATTTTCTACAGTGACCTGAATTTGAAGAGAGCAGAGATAATCGGGCTCATGGGATAACAATAATTAGGCTCGTTTGCGAAGCTCTATTTGTTAATCAGCCTGGAACAACAGTTCGACTTCCAACTGTACGGGCTATTTTCCTACTTGTTTCGTCCA